AGAGACGAGATCATCTGTGCAAGCAAGCATGCCGACGGTGCCACCTTCGGATCCTAGCATCGATGAGTTCTTGAGAACGCTCACTCATTCAGCGCGTGTGAGATTGCTCAACTTTGTATCACGACCTCAACTTCGTCAAGCCCTTGTACTTCAATTGACAGCTTTTGTGCGTGACGGGACAGAAAGAATGCTGCAGCAAGAGTTGCGTCGTTTGGATGAGAGGGATAGAGCAAACCTACGTGAAGAACGTCCTAGCAGTAGCGGAGCTTCAGGATCACGTTCGTCCAGTGGCAATTGCAGATCCCACCCCTATGCACCTCCACCCTCTCTGCCAGCAACGAGGAGTACGCCGAGTGCAGGGAGCGACAACCCATCGTCCAGTTCCGCACCTCCCCCCCTACCTCCCCCTGGCCCTCCTCCTCTCCCCCTCCTCCCCTCCCTCCCCCTCTTCCCCCTCCCTTTTTCCCCCCGCCCAGTGCCAGTGCTCCCGTCTTTCCACCCCCGGCACTGTCTGAACCTCCTTTGGTGTCCAGTACCGCTTCGTCGTCGGCTGCACCTACATCTTCAGCTACGTCAGGTACTCCGATTAGATCCAAACCCATGCCTACCAGAAGGCGTGAATCACGCCGATTTCGACGCAGTCAATCGTCTGATCTTAGCTGAGTATGCCCGAAGTGACAGGATCTCACTTGTATCTGTGACGCATGCGAGTGCTGAAGTGAGGAAACAATGTGCAGTGGATGCCAGTGCTGTGAGTACTTATTCATTAATGTTGTAGTGCATACCAGAACAGTGTCGCAGCACCCTGCTCAAGTCTCGTTCCATTGCACTCATGTCGAGCAACTCAGCGTGCGATCCGTTGGCACCTCTTCAACGCTGGATTTCCTACACACAACAGGAGCTGATCACAATCAGAGGTGAATTCCGTCACTTTCGCGAAGAAGCCTTATCCGTCCAGAAGATCCAACAAGCCCAACTCGACGTGCTCACCACACAAATCAGGGACACGGAGACTCAGGTGGCGGAAGTGATGTCCGCCACCACAGAACTGTTTCAGAAACTTCAGAAGACCAACGAAGTGGTGGGCAACTTGCTGACGGATTTGCATTCTGTTCAATCTGTGACTACTCATTGTGTTAATTCTCTTCAACTACAAGAAACAACAGAGTTGCCCCCAACGCTCCCAGCAGAGATTGAAGTCTCAGAGTGAAACGTGAGCAGTTGCAAACAAGCGTCTGTGTGCCAGTGTCACTGCAAGGGTGTTGCAAGGGATGTGCAAGGGACGTGCAAGTGACGTGCAAGGGATGTGCAAGGGACGTGCAAGTGACGTGCAAGTGATGTGCAAGGGTGATGCAAGCGATCTGCGGGCACCATGTGTTGTGAGCATCTGCAGACATTGTCCTGCCTCATGCCCTCAAGGTTCCCTGTAGTGCAAGACAGATTCAGACCGTACAAGTAGCTTTTCATCATGTCGGTGTCCAGTTTCGAGAGCGATGCTGCCTCTGTATCGGACGTGCACTCTTCCGACTTCTCGTCAGACCTTGCAGCATCAGACCAAGAACGTGATCGACGTGCAGATGTGGCATCAGGTGTTCCTTTGGCCAGTGATCCGGATTCGGCTGATTTTGATCTTGATCATGAGAGCATTAATGCGTCTTCATCCATTGACCGACAGTCTGCGTCTTCGTCCTCTGGTCGATTAGTTCATGCCCCAAAGCCGAAGCAGTCAGTTGCAGAGCACACCAACATGTTGCAGACGGACCCACCGCGGAAACGCAAACTTCGTATGATCGATGAAGGACCTGATGGTGTGCGCATCAAGATTCGTCCTGCACCCAGTACCCAATTTCGTCGCAGAATGGAAGGCACGAGAGTGCTTGGTGACGATTTTTACATTCACAACAGAGCTCAGTTCATTCTCGATTTCTTGAGACAGCATGGCCAACGCATTGCCAAAGAAAAGCAAGGCCCTAGGAAGCGTTTTTCGTCCACTTTGAAACTGGTGCAGTACGTTCTTGACCGAAAGTGAGAGATTGCACAAAGAAAGTGAAAGAAACTAAAGAGTGCGCGTTTGCAGTGCTGTGCATTATCAGCTTTCTGCATGAACCGTCTTGAGTTGCAGCATTTGGCATCCAGTGAAACTGTGTAGGTTGCCCAACATGAAGCGCAAGGCCCGCGAAGCCAATCTGCCTTGGAGCACGAGCCGCGACTACATTTTTCGGATGTGGGTTCGTGTATGCAGTCGGGCAACCGGACACGAGACTATTACTCTCCACATCCAGTTATCAATCAACGATTCCATCAACGTTGCCAAATACCTTGTCGCGATGCAGCTCTGGGAGAAGTTCGGCTGGTGGCCTAGGTTACACACCTTCCAGCTTGTACAAAACTTTCGCCATCTTCGGTTTACGGAACCTGTAACGACTGCTCAAACCCTCGAACCAGTCGATTTCGTTGTGACGGTATAAAAAGAGACCACCTCTGTGTCAAGTCAAGAGCAGTGACGAGCAAGGGACGTGCAAGCGGATTGCAAGTGATATGCAAGGGATGTGCGAGGTTCGTGCAAGTGCAGTGCAAGAAATGTGCAGAGTAACATGTCAGAGACGTGCAAGTGCTGAGGTGTTGTGAGCTGCTTTCATCAGACATGCAACAGAGTTTTGTTTCAAGCACTCTGAAAATTGTGTAGACCCCGAACAACATGGATTGGGCCGCTTCTGACGTGCTCGAGAACATCTTGATGTACGTGTTGCCGATCAGAGCCAGAATCACATTCATTACTCGCCTCGATCCAAATGATGACCCAGAAGAGGCACAACCCATAACCGACACCATGGTGGCGTACACGTTCCTGCGACGTGGGATACAGGAGTTCCGGCTGTCCTCCTCGGTTGAGTTGACCATGGGCTTTCAGTCTTTGCATACCACCATCCGTTTTGCACAAATCAATGCCGTGGCTTGCACCATGTTGAGCAGCCCGTCAAAAAGGTGGATGAGAGCTGTCGTAGACCTAGTACAGGAGCGTTTGCGAGTGAGTATTGTGTCACTGGCCAACGTTGCGTACCAAACTGCAACTCAGTGTTGCATGTACTTCGATGCTGATGCGGAAGAAGCAGAAGTTGAATTGCACTTAGTGCACAGACTGCGCTTCCTGAAGTTTCGTAGCCCACTTTCCTAGGTCTCTTGAGCATAAGACTTTCCCATGAAATTCAGTGAAAAAACAGCGCGCAAAGACTGTCTACATTGCAAGGTGAGTGCGCACTGTCCTGCAAGTGCTGTGCAAGCGATTGAACGGATGCAATGAGCCCGGTCGGGCCTGTGTGTGTCCATCCCTGTTTCGAAGGGTAAGTAAATCTGACTCGAGTGAGCAGGGGGGCAAGGGCTCCAGTGATCAGCCTTGCCCAACGAAGCCAAATCACTGGAGTGGATGCAGTGGCTGATCACCACTGTGTACCTGCTTTCGGATTAGCCGGTGGGCCCCCTGAGGCACTGGAGTAACCAACACTAGAGTGACAGCTTCATGTTTGCCACAGTTGAGTTCCTGCATGGTTGCTGCAATCTGATCATTCAGGTGTGACTCAGAGCTGTGTTTGAGTGAGGGCTTGCTTCGGTCAGTTTCTTGCTCAGTTCCTGTTCAAGACTACATGTTCTGAATTTTTCGTGCAGCCTCTGACTTTCCCTGACAGCTGCTGACTTTCCCTGACAGTATGCACCGACAGATCAGACCTGCGACACGATGTGTCAAGTGTGTGTCGGTGGGAGGACTATTTCACATGTATACATTGGACGCCCCCACGACCGTGGAACCAAGCAGCGTCCAAACGAGCATTTGATGGACGTGGTAAGCGTATGCTACCTCAAATGTACATTGGGTGTCCCCACGACGGTAACACCCAAGCAGTGTCTCCAAAAAATACAAACGAGCAACGGACGCATTTTGAGCGTGTGTAGGGAGGGGTAACTACTCCAGACACACACAAGAAGTCTCCACGACTCTTTCACCAAGCAGTGCGCGCAAAGTGTCCACACGAGTTGTTGATGCATGCGGCGAGTGTGGAGTAGCAACCAAATATGCACTGGACGCTCCCACGACCGTAACTCCGAGGAGTGTGTCCAAGAAGTCTAGACGAGCTGTTGATGCATGTGGTGAGTGTCAGATTTCATTGGAGGCCCTCACGACCGTAACACCAAGCAGTGTGTCCAACAATGCCTACACGAGCTGTTGATACATGTGGCGAGTGGCAAGTAGAATTCATTGCATGCCCCCTACGACCATAACGCCAAACAGCGTGTCCAAAAAGTCTGGATGAGTTGCTGCTGGATGTGGCGAGTGTCAAGTAGATTTATTTGGAGGACCCCACGACCGTAACACCAAGCAGCGTGTCCAAAAAGTCTAGACGCGCTGTTCATGCATGTGATGACTGTCAAGTAGATGTCTTGGAGGCCCCCACGACCGTAACACCAAGCAGTGTATCCAAAAAACCTAGACGAGCTGTTGATCCATGTGGTGAGTGTCATGTAGATTTCATTGGAAGCCCCCACGACCATAACACCAAGCAGCGTGTCCAAAAAGTCTAGAAGACTCGTTGCTGGATGTGGTGAGTGTCAAGCGGAATTTTTGGAGGACCCCAGGACCGTAACACCACACAGTGTGTCCAAAAGGTCTAGACGAGCTGTTGATGCACGTGGCGATTTTGGCGCAGCTCGCATGTACATTGAACGAAATCCCAGCGCCTCGCGCAGCGGCGCGAAGCTCAGCGACTCGCAGACATCGCCACTGAGACCACGCCGCAGCAGCGAAAAGACGTCCATGGCGGCAGGCGGCGCTCGAACAGACAGACAGAAGGCCGATTTCGAGCTCGGCAGGACTCGGAGAGACCTCTGGCTTCCATGGCTTGCGGCTAACGGTAATGGCGCGGTATGGCGCGGGCTTACATGCGGTTCGTGCCACGCAAGCTCCCTAGCGTCGCTGGCCGAGGCGGCCTGGTTCTTGTCACTTCCTATCACCATGGACCATGGACCATGACTGCATGACTCACCAACAGCTGTCGGGAAGTGATTTCAAGCTCCGGGAAGTTGCGTCTGCCCGCGTGAGCCCAACCTGTGGCCCAGGCCATAACGTGATCCTCAGATCACATGAAACTGACCATGCACGTAGAGGCCCAGCTCGTGGATCCCATCTCAGCCGGGCAGCGGCGATGGAGGCCACGGAGGGGTAATCGAAGATGAGCGTAAACGGCAAGTCCACGCCAGGCATCTGACATGTGAAATGGCAGAGTGGAGAGATGAGCAGAGGAGAGCCCAGAGAGACGAGCGCCCACCTCCTCGCTGAGCATGTTCCGAAGGCCCACGGCAGTGCGGCTCGTGACGCCGACCTGAGCGGAGCCCAGGTCGGAGGCCGTGGACCCTCGTGGCCGTCCTGCCCTCCCGCCTGCATCAAGGGCTGATCGAGGTCGATCTGCTCGGAGTCGTCCAAGTCGGCTGTAAACCTTTCGGAGACATTGTGAACCCCACGAAGACGCAGCCGGCTACGAGGAGCCTCACGATCTCCTCGACACGTTTTCGAACCGTGTCGGTGCCTTCAGCAATTGCCAGCGTTACATGGGCGGAGACTGCGGGTTTCGTCCGAGCCCCGAGCTGACATTCGCAATGTCCAGCCTCAAAGCCGAAATGGACGAAAGGGCCGAAATCCGTCACCAGAGCTTTGCGAAACTTGGTCTCTCACTTCTGGCCCGGATCGGTTCGTCTTCTCGCCCGAGGCTCCTGGGCTGGCAAGTCGATCTCACGAGCCGCGAGCCAGGGCCCAATGGCAGAACACACGAGAACACGCGAGATGCGCGAGCCTGCTGCTGGCGCTGCAGGGCTTGTGGCATTTGTCCGGCGCCCTGCTGCTGCTGCTGTTGTTGCTGCCTCGCAAGGCGTTTCGCGTCCAAGGTTAATCAGTGCTTTTTAGCAGGCGCTCTCGGTGCCGCACTGCCAACGCTGCCACTCTGCCCACTGCTCTGGTGTCCACTCATTGCCCGGAAGGGGCTGCTCCTGCCGAGTTAGGTAGCGGGCCAGACAAAGAAGCGCCAATGATCCCAAGCTTTACCTCGCTCCCCGTCTGTTCCTATGGCAGCATGGAGAGCACAAAGTACCAAAGGAATGAAGACAGAAGCTAGTTGATTAACCCAATGCAAGTGAATAACTAATACAGTAACTAAGAAATCCCCAATCTCTATCCAATCAACGGACACGCTGCACGGCATGCCGTTGACAGCTGTACGCGCCGCTTGCATCTCTGGCATATCAGGCCTATGATGGCCTATGGCCTACGGTGCATTCCGGACTCATGCGATCGGCCCGCCCAGGGCCTAGCCATTAAGCTCAACTTAGGTGCTGCTGTCAAGGCTCGACAAGGGGGGACCAAGGAACCGCAACAAAAATCCGTGGCAATGCCAGCCCAAATGAAGGAAGTCGAAGGGCGGTGGGGGGGGTGGGGGGTGCAACCCCTTTGCGCCTCGGGCGGCCCGGTGATCTGCTCCAGGATGTTCATCCTCGGCAGCACGCGGCACGCAGCTTCAGAGAGAGCAGAGAGGGCTGGGCTCCGCCGGGCTGCGCTGGGCTCCGCTGCACCGCTGAGCCGAGCACGCGATCCACTCGCCTCGCGAGTCTCGGTACTCCTGGAAGATCGCCAAGGCCTCACCACGAAGACGTGGAGGACACTTTCAAGCGCGGCGACTGGCGACTGGCGACGGGCACCTTGTTGACAATCACCAAGGCTTTGTTGGCATTGCCGTTGGTGAAGTGGGCATCCGCCTGACAACAGGCTGGCAGCAAGCGGGGACGGTCCCGGTCGCGGCATGTCCCGGTCACGGTGGCCTCCAGGCACATCACATTGGCCTTGTCTCGCTCGCTGCCCAACTCCTCGAATATCGCCATGGCCTGTCCACCAAGACAGGGCGTGAAGCGCGGGATGCAGCGCATGGCGCATGCCTCCTCTGCTGTCTTAAGGGCATCGTCGCACCTCGGCTCCAAAAATCTCAGCCACGGCCGTCGTAACTCTTAGAGCAGCCGCGTGTGCTGCGTGCGCGTGCGCGTGGCTGAAGAGCCGAGACTGGCGCCGCAGGCCCGTGAGCTGCACCTGCCCGGCGATGAGCAGAGCCTCGGAACGGTGCGCAAGGAAGGCTGCAGGCTTCCGCTGGGACTGGAGGATGTGAAAGCTGGAAGCTGGCCTGCCCCAGCTGTTGGTTGAAGCGCTTCTTCCGCCTTAGGGCAGAAAGTGAGCTCCAGAAAGCTTGCCCAATGATGCCCAATGCCAATCTGAGGAGGAAGCGCAAAGCTGACAGCCGCTTCGGCCTGAGGGAAGCTCCCAACAGCAAAGAGCCCAAGAGCCAAGAAAGCCGAAGACTCCGGCTTCCGCTGGGGCCGCTGGGGCTCCGGGCCGCCTGCTCGGCGTCCGCCAGGGCCGTGGCGAAGGCCGGGGCCCCGCGCTGAGCCCGGATCTTGTCCTCTCCGCGAAGGCCCAGCTTGGGAACTTGTCAAGGGCAGGAGTCCCAGAGTCCCAGGCGCATCCAGGCGCCTGGGCCAGAACCTGCAGCTTGATCGTGGCCACGACTTGCAGGGACTGCGCCTGTCGAGGCATGATGCCCTGCACTCTCGCGCAAGTCGTGGCATTTCATGAGACTCCTCCACAACCCAGAAATCTATGCCATGCCGCTTGGTGTGTAGCATGGCTGCAAAAAAGCATCGGAAAGTGGTATCACTTGCACTTCCGTGCCTTTCAAGGTAGCCTGGCCTCGCATGCTTTAGACTGTACCACCTAGACCCGAAGTGCCAAGCTGACCTAAAGCCTAAAGCTTCTGTTCTTCCGCAGCGAAGGCGAGCCTCCTCGGAGTCTTTCTGCTTGCCCCGGAAAAGTCGCACGGACTGGGCAGACGGGTAGAGAGGGGCTTTTGGAGGCTTCTGGGTCGCAGCCGTAAGAGCCCGAGGGCGATAAACAATCAGACTTGGAACCAGCATCGTTGCAGTGGGATCATAGTATCAACTCAAACGAGGCCGGCACCCTGTCGGCGGCCTTCAGCGCCTGCAGAGAAAGTGCTGCTTTCACGGCAAGCTAAGTAGTGAAAGTTGCTGTCCAGCCTGAGGGAGCTCGCCATTTGCCAGATACGCCTGCCCGGCTCTAGCACGCCCCCGGGCCCCCCCGGGCCCCCCCGGGCCCCCCCGGGCCCCCCGGGGTTTCAGCCCAGCCCTGGGCTCTTCCCTGCCATCCTCAAGGCTGCGGCCTCCGCCACGATGCGCAGAGCAGACGCCTTCAGGGCAGAGACTGCGCGATCCACGGCTGCATAAGCTCTGAGTTTCTCCTTCCGGGCATGTCTTGCCCTTTACAGGACGTCGATGGGGCCTATGCCTGTCTTTCACAACCTACTGCTACTGCTGTGCTCGGATCTCAAAGATACTCATCGCAGATGAATCATGGGGATCCTCGTCGGCGTAAGCGCCGATGTCGTGCAGCAGCGCCTGCGCCTGAGATGCAGCCGTCTCATGAAGTACAGAACCAGTATCCCAGCGTCCAGGCTTCGTTAAACTCGCAGTTTACAAAACCTGCCCTGCCGGATGTTCCCATGAGCTGGGCCGTGGTAGCGAGCCTCCCGGGAGACCATCACCGCCTGCGTAAAGTCCTTCCTGCCAGAGCATCAGATGCGCAGGGCACCTGGCCAAAAGCTCTTGCTTGCAGCCACGAGGCTGAGTGTAGTGAATGTTGGCCACCATGAGTCGTGCGATGGCCTGGCTACATGACAAGCTCAAACAACCTGGATGTGTAGACACACACACATATGCTGCGTCACTTCACAAACCCATAATATGTGATTGCAACATATGTACATATGTATATATGCATATATGTATATGTGTGCCTACACATGTACGTGTGTGTGTGTACATACAGATATATGTATACATATATATATATATATATATACATGTACATATACATATATACATATACATATATATATATACACACACATACATACATACATATGCCTTTAGATTCGAATACAACGCACATCAGCGCACATGTGTGCATACCTGCACAGGAAATCGCTTATGCGTACATATCCGTGTCATACTACATTGGAAATACATAGGTATGCCGATGATTATGCATGTGTGTATGCGCATGTAAGCAGAAATGACGTACACAAGTTATGGACAAAATGTTAAAAGACGGTCGCAAGCTCTGCTTGCTCAACTCCGACCCTGGCCTCTCGCTTCTTGTCGTTCTTGTCGTTGCAGAGGCTCACAAGCTCCTGCGCCGTCTTCATGGCCTCGCCGAGACAACGTCGAAGAAAACGGCCATCGCCCTCGCATCGCTTCGAAAATACGTGCCGCCTCTTCCAGGTCGCCTTGCTGAAGGAAGGCCTGCCACATGCCACGCACGGACCGCAGCGCGCGGAGCGTGAAAGGTCTGTTCGTCGGCACGACGGGGGGGGTATCGACGGGCCTCGTAGACGGTCTCTTGCGCGATGGCAGTTTCGTGGAGCGAGACCTCCATGGAGGCAATCTCCTGCCTCGGCCAACGCAGTCCACTTCTCTGCATCAAAACTGCCTTGTCGTTCTTAACACTGAGAGTCCCGCGCGACCTGGAAGGCCTTCTCTGGCCGGGAAGTCTCCAGGTGCAACCTTCCGAGAGCGAGCAAACCCGAATTTTTTTTCGCAGAGGGCACGCAACGGTGGTCCCCGGTGCCCCCGGGGCTCCGGCTGCGACAGGATGAGCAACATCGCGGTCTCGCCGCCCTTGACTCGAACCCAAATCACTGGATGCGCGCTCATAGGAAGGCCGAGGTCGTGGCTTTCTCGCCGATTTCCTTCATCAGGCGAGGCGTCCGAGTGTTCCAAGTTTCGCAAACTTCTCTTCTTTCGCAAAGAGCCGTCCAAGGGTTCTTCCTTTCTTAAAGCTTCTGCTCAACTGAGGGCCGTGGCTAGTTCCGACCTACTCGCATCTGCCACAAAGGTCAGAAAAACTCCACGGCCCTGCTCTGTCTTTGGCCAGCCTTTCCCTGCGAGCTCGTCTCCCGCTCGCAGGGCAAAAGAAGGCCACGCGAAGCGCATCGCGAAGCTTCTAACGCTTCAATCGCTTGAGATAAGCTCCAAATGAGCACCGCTCCGCTCCGCTCCGCCGCTCCGCTCGGCCGAAGCTTCTCGCGGCTTGCGTTTCAAGATCCTCCTCCCCCGCCTTGTAAATGTCCGCAGCCTGCTCGGCGGCTTGCAGAGCCAGGGTTTTCTCGTCCTGCAGACAAGGACGCAAAAGCGACGCTTCAGGGACGTCTTCGATGATGACCTCCACTGCCGCGCCGCTACCAGCAGCAGCAGGAGTAGCTATTTGTTTCTGTAGTGTCAAGAAGAGGAGGGAGCGGGGGCAGCAGCATCCTCAACGGGAACACTCTGGCCACTAGTCACTAGTCCTGTGACCCTTTGCCCAAGAAGCCCCCCAAGCTTCGAAGGCAGTCCCGAGCTTGGTGCGCCAGGACGAGAGCATGCAGGGAGGAGGCCTCGAAACAGTTGAGAAAACCGGCGCTCATCTCTCTGCTTAGTCCCCTCATCCTCCCCCCGTCACCCGTCATCCTCCCGCGTTTTTGGAGTTTCCGAACAACAGCATCCTGGTCAGAAGAGGGCGGGCCTGTCCGAAGCGCTCGCCTAATTCTCGAAACCGATCATAGCCTCAGATTCGCATCGAGAAACGAAGAGGGCCATAAAAAAATGATGTGTGTTGGGGGCTTAGAGGGTTTCGTCGCAGTGTCTTGTGTCGTGGCAGGATGTAGAGCTTCGGGGAAAATTAAGTCCGAAACGGAGATGGCCTCGAGCGCCTGAGGCGAGAGCCGTCCTTGGCCAGCTGCACAGCCTTCGCTGCCTCGTCCTGGCAGCAAGTGGCCTCACCTGCGAATCTCTACGGCCCAGCCCATCTTGGAGCGGTGCGTTCATCCAGTTCTTGGACCTGTCCTGCGCCGATGGCAGGGCGAAGGACTCTTCGGCATCTTCACTGCTGAGTTGGAAGTGGTAGTATCTCGACAGCGGTTAGCATGACCACTGCGACACGACTGCATCCAGAGGTGTCAGGGCGGCGACCACTACTACCGGCAGCGCCATCAACGCACCTGCGACCTATCACATCTCCCCCTTCGCTGCTACGACAGAAGCTGCTGCTGCAGCTGCTGCTGCTGCTGCAAACAAAGCCTACCTCCTCAAGAATGTACACAGATGACGACGGCACGCGAAACAAGTCCAGGCAGGTGCTTTGGTGTCCTTCAGCTGCAGATGTGCTTGCACCAGGACCTCAGAAGCACGCTCACTACATCATGAGGACCAAGCACTCCTTTGCCGGCAGACTGGCGGCTCGTCTGAGAAACATTGACATCAACACACAGACACCAAGCGGGATTTCCACCAAACCTGACGAATCCATAGATCTTATGAAGCATGTGGATCTGTTCTACTTTAAGTCAAAGTCAAGGGGTCAAGGTCCCAACTACGGCCGTCGAGCCCGACTGAGCCCGCGGCGCTGAGAGCGGCCGACTCTTGCCTGCTCCGGAGCTCGGCGCAGCGCCTCGGAAGACCCGAACAGTTCGGGGGCTGTAGGTCACCTTATCTATACTGCGTCTGCGTTTCGCATGGAAACTCATGTTCAGCCGTGATCTGGAGGTGGTGTCAGGAGTGCTACAGCAAGCCGTAACTATCGAGACCTGGTGCTTCCGATGCATGAACGATATGTTTTCGATTCAAAGTTGCTCAGGTGTCTGCGTGCTCGAAACTTGGATTCTCTAGCCGTGCGGAGATCAGACGGACTGCTTCAAACATTTGTGATGTCTGCTTTCTCTACTTCTCCAGCTTTCAGCTTTCTTCAGATGTCGATGGATGTCTATTGCTTTCTCGCACTTCTCGGGCTTCTCTCGCCTATGTTCTCTCAAGTTCGCGCAAGAAAGCTAAAGTCTAAAGATTGTTCCAGGATTTGCTTCTATTACGAGAGTTCTGTAGCGAAGGACTCCACTTTTACGTTCCGAGTCTCGCGTGGAACGTTTTGCTATCTTGATCTCTTGAAACCCTCTTCTGCATTCGGTCTCCATGCTCTCCGAATTTATGGCATGGTCATATTTCTCTGGGGTAACCATCGGGGTGGTTGCGCTGAGGGCCCGGGAGCCCGGCTTCATGGCCTCTTCTGCCAACTTCATGGCCTGCAGCACACTGGTAATGGCAGCACAAGCAAGAATGTGAGAGAGGCAGCTGCAACAGTAGAGTAGAACAAAATTCGAAGTAGTCCACGCGGCGGTCGTAGACCGTGATAGTGGTGACGGTGGTCGCAGCATGGTCATGGTCGTTGTCGTAGTGACGCCAAGTAGTAAAGGTGGTAAGATGATAGTAGTAGCAGTAGTAGTAGTAGTAGTAGTAGTAGTAGTAGCAGTACTAGTACCAGTACTGGTACTAGTAGTAGTAGTAGTAGTAGTAGTAGCAGCAGCAGCAGCTGCAGCAGCAGCAGCAGCAGCAGTAGTAGTAGTAGTAGTAGTAGTAGTAGCAGTAGTAGTAGTCGTGGTAGTAGTAGCAGTAGTCGTAGCAGTAGTAGTAGTAGTAGTAGTAGTAGTAGTAGTAGTTGTTGTTGTAGGAGAGCGTAGCAAGGGTAGTAGAAGTAGCAAGAGTTGCAGGCGTAGCAGGGCTGTGCGGATGATCAAGACACTCAACTTACAGAATGCTATAGAGGAGGAGGAGCAGGAGCACGAGCAGGCGAAGGAGCATGAGCAGTGACAGTGGCAGTGGGAGCAGCAGCAGCAGTAGCATTAGCAGTAGCAGTGGCAGGGGCAGTGGCAGTGGCAGGAGCAGGAGCTGGAGCAGTGGTAGGAGCAGGAGTAGTTGCAGTAGCAGTGGCAACAGTCACGGTGGTCGTAGTAGTGGTAGTAGCCGTGGTGTTGGTGATGGAACAACAGGAAGGACAAAGCAACGCCCAAAGTGTGCACACCCAACTGCTCCACCAGCACGCCAGGCACACACACACACACAAACACAACAGACGCAGTGCAAACTCGCCAGCTTCATGTGTGGGCACCCCGCCTTGCGAGGATTGATGCCGAGGGTCCACTGGGCAACACAAACCTCGATCGTGGGCATCGATGGTTTACGGCAGGCTGCGCAGCGTCGCAAGCCGTCCGGGCCTGCTCGAAGGCTTCCATTTTCAGGTAGCCGCTGTCTCGGAAGAGCTTGGCCTCATGGACAGGACCGGCCCCGTCCCAACGCTGTATTGGGCGCTGAACGAGCTTTCGCTGAGCTTGGCGCCGCCTCGGCAGCTGCTGCCTCGCAGAGCTCTGTCAAACAGTCTGACTTTCGAGCCTTTTTTAGAGGGCTCAGGGAACGGCCAGCCAGCCGCCCATGCCACCCTGTAGAACCACATCGTTGATGTCGGCCTCGGCGAGAGCAACGGCCCGGAGGCCTTGTGAACCCTCAGGAGCGCTTGGCGAAAGCGCAGAGCCTCCTGCCACGACCCCCTAAAAATCAGGGCGCGACCCGGACGTGAGCGACGGCGACACCGTGCATCGCCAAGCCCTCCCCGCGCCTCGGGCCGCCAAAACTCCGGACATGTCAGGAGTTGACGCTTCCAAGGCCGGAACCTGTCACCGATGCTGCGAAAGATGCTCCTGCGGAGGCAAACACGCGCGGCGGATCGCAGAAAAAAGCAGTGACTGCGAGAGATCCGCCTGGCCATCAAAGCACAGTCGAGGCCCTCCTGGCAACCTGGCACAGAGAAGCCGTGAGCCGTGGGAGTGCGCGTCACCGTTCGATTCCCATCACTACCACGACAGCAACAGCAGTACCTGGAAGATCCAGCAAAAGAACAGCAGACATAGACGAAGCGCAGGGTTCTTTTGGGATATCGGTGTGAAAGGTGTGACGCTGGGAGGAGAAGCGAGCCCGAGGCCGCTGATGCTCTTGTCTCCTCGCCACTTCCTAAGCTGCAACACTGACATGCGAAGAAGGGTAACGCAGCACCACAGTCAGCGCCATCACCATCATCATCACCATCATCATCGTGACAGTCTTCGTCAGCATAACTTCATCATTCACACGATCCTCCGCCTAATCGCATCACTGCTGCTGACAGTGATAGCCTGGACAGTGCTGCGACCGTTGCTAGTGAGCTTAGCAACACAAAGTACGACGAATGAAACCAGAATACAGCAGCCCCAAACTGCAAATGAAAACGGAAGAACAAGAAGATCTGTCGCTGGAACACAAGCAGAAGTAGCTATTCACAGAATAGCAAAGACAATAATAATAGCAGATGCCATCGGAGCAGGAGCAGGAGCAGTAGTAGTAGTAGTAGTAGTAGTAGTAGTAGTAGTAGTAGTAGTAGTAGTAGTGTAGACGACACTTTTAGCTGAGGCTTTGGCATGTTGATGTTCAGCAAGCAGATCAGGGTGTACGCCTCCATCCTGCCAGGAAAAGAACAACAATTTGGGAATCCTTTGTCGGCTGAGCCCAGGACTTCTTGTCGCCGTTCTTTCGGAAGAGCTCCAGAGCCTCTTCAGGCCGAAAGCAACGGCGGCAGCGGCTTAGGGAACGCGTCGCAACATCCTCATCTACGGGTCCCGGGTCCTCGTTGGCCCAGAGCCGCGCTTCCTGGCGGTTCTTGTAGCCCCTGCCTGGGCTCGTCCGCATGGCATGCGCCGCATTTCAGCGTATGCGCTCTTGCTGGGCGCCCGGCGCTCGGTGTTGATCTCCGCCAAGGAAAGCCTTGCTTATCCGTTATTCCCCAAGCCGCGCCCGAGACGGGTCCATTCGTCAACACTCTGAGAGAGGGGCAGCATCTTGCTCTCCCCCTGTCGGTCCTGTCGCACTTACACTCTTACACTTCTGCGCCATGTGTGGCACTGGCCCGTGCGGACTTCCAGGCCTTCTGCGAGCGAATTCTGGAAAGCTCATCCTTTGCTACCTGGTTGGCTTCCTTTCGACGGTCCTGAGACGCCCACAGCCACATTTTCTGATCGCTCGTTGCAGTACATGCCATAAAATGCCCACTGCACCTTGAAGCAAAGCACGTGGATCTTGATGCCTCGGCACGACGCTCTAAGAATCAAAATCTCACAAACAGCAGATAGGCGATGAGACAAGATATGCAAGTCGAGCTAGAGCGTTATCCGACGATGACCAGGTCAAGAGGAGATGTCAAGTTGTGATTAGAAGCGAAGCTGTCCACCTGACGCTTCGCAAAGTGGCCTTTTGCACTGAACAGCAGAAGGACAATTATGCCTACTGTTACGCAAGGCAGCCCAAAGCCACAAGAGAAGCTGTGCTGTCAGGACGCGATTGCTGTCTGCGATGCCGGTCTCATCACCCAACCTGGGCGATTGTATCTAGACACACACTTGTCCGAAGTGATCAACGACAGCACCGATCCAGTCAGAAAGCGGAAGACGTTGATTGGAACCCAAAAACCTGAAGTTCTGATTTGCACAAGACCTGGTTGAGCTAGGTTCATGCGAGATTCTGAAAACCAGCAACCCCACTTCAGGCAGATTCCGCACAGACATAGAACCAGGCATACACTTGGTGTTGCAAGTGTAACTGTACCAGCAAGCATTAGCAGCATGAATGTCCGCGCTCATGCATACCTGTATATATGTATGTATATATATATACGCACACATGAACATATTATGTATATATATATATGTATATGCATAGGAGGTGCATATGCATGCCTGACTTCTGCATGTTTAGCAGCTTGGATTCCGACTGGGCCTATAGTCTACAGGGATGGAATCGTCTTTCTGCAATCTCCTGTATTGACATGATGACATGACGGCCCTCGGGAGAGCCTAAAGACGTGGCATGGCTTCCCGTGTGAACTCAGCACGCTGGCCATAGGACGGGCTGTAAATGGCGACAACCGTGCAAGCCAAACCCAAAGAAAGCAATGCAGACTTAGACTGGCAGGACAAAGGGCACTCCTGGGATGAAGGGATCACCGACTGTGAAGGCCGGTCGGTTTGAATCTGTGGAGTCTGTATCTTAGCCTACACTGCCTGTGCGCTCTGCATAATGTGCATCATATGTCATACGCCATCGATACCCTGCATACATTGCGTAGATTCTAAGTACATGTATGTCTGTATATACAGTCATGTCATATGTCATATATGTACAATGACATTATGGGCGAGCCGGTTCGTAATCTGTCATGCGTAGGTTGAGTGCCCGTGCCTTTGAGTCCGACAAAACCACCTAGGCCCGCTGCTGCCGGAAGCGGTTGAGGGCCTGCTGTCTTATGGAATGGCTTCTGGGAATGGCTTCTGGGGACAGAAGCAGGAATGATGATAAATTATAACTATAACCTTGGCATCTTCAAAGACTGACACTACCGTACGCCGATGACACAAGCAAAGGCGATGATGATGATCATCATCATCATCATCATCATCGCAGCCATCCTTACTATCAGCAAGCCAGTGGCAACAGACACGGCTATAACCATGACTCATAACCACCATTGCAATCTGCAAGCGAGCATAATGAGAATCTGTTGTTGAACTGAGAGGGCAATTTCCCAACAATATGACAAGCATTGCAGCATTACAAGCGAAACATTTTTGAGCAAACAGACTACTAATGCTTCTGAGAATCTCGCTACCAAGTGTGTGCACACGAATCACACGACACAGCAATCCATGGAGACTGCAACATCGACGACAGACGACGTCGACGACAACGACAACGACCACGATCGTCAGACTAACAGCAGCAGCAGGCGGCAACAACAACAACAGCAACAGCAACAGCAACAGCAGCAGTACCACCACCAGCTGCAGCGGCAGCGGTCCAGTCACTAACACAGAAAGAGTTGCAATAGGCCACCAGGCCACTTCCTCGTGCTACAGAATGTTTTCATAGTGGCCTTGTCAAAACCGAGAGGACTCATGACACGCCCAGAACCACAAGGATCTGCAACTGAGAACACTTAGTCTGCAGCTCAACACAAAACCTTGGAGGCAAGAACCTGGAGTGCTTAATTTCATGCAGATCCATTGCGCCTCCTCCGTGTGCTTCAACGCTTCGTCGGCCTACAGGGGCGGTCTGAGCACAGAGAGCTCCAGCCGTGCAGGCCAACTCGCCACGCCTGTTCTTCGTGCATGTGCTTCTCGGCATAGCTGAAGTACAAGGCCGCCTCTGCATGAGGGGCCCTTGGGGCGAGTAGAGACCGAGAGAAAACCTACGCGCAAAGAGATCAACATGCGCATCCGTCTGTCAAGTTCAAACTTGAAGAACAACACTACCTTGTAGAGCCCCAAAAGTTGAAATTGGACATTGAACCGCTAAATTAACACACCCCAGACTCGAAACCCTAAACCCTAAACCTTAAACCCTAAACCCCTAAACCCCGAACCCTCCCCCACAGGATGTTCGTAGGAATCCGGCCTTGCAAAACCCTCGTGAGCGGTGAGCTGGTCCCGTAACCCCTTCTTCAAGCGAGCCCTCCGCCCGCCCCGGGCCTCGCGCTCCTTCTCGGAGAGGCTCTTGTCTTTGGACCGCTTTTCTGAGCACAAGGCGACATAGGAACTGTCGAGACGCGGCCCCTCATTAGGCTAAGCGACCATAGCGGGCTCCAAGGTTGTCGGATCGCGCCACCTTGGAGAACGTCGCTGTCCTGCTACCCAGCACAACGGAGACCCTGCCCGACGAGACTATCGCTCCTAATCCCAACTCAATGATTAAGATGATGCTGAAACTTGTGATGATTATCACGAGCATCTCGATGATCGTCATGACAAGCAGGATGTCTCACAAGGTAATGATGCTTCCAGATCCCAGCGAGGCCGCCACTGAGAGCTCGCCGCCCTCCATGCCGGGGCAGCCTGAAGAGCGAACCCTAGCATTGGCTGACCATCACTTCAAGGACCGTTCAAGGTGTCTTAAGTTGCTGAGGGTGTCGACACTGCAAAACAAAACACGGAATGGCCGTGTCGTCAATGATTGTAACATCCACATCAACATCATCATCAGCATCATTACCGTTGTTGTCGTCATCGTCTTGTTCGGCATCATCACCGATATCATGAACATCACCACAGGCATCGTCAGAGTGCTCGTCACCAACGTCGACATTTTCATCATGATCACCATCTTCTGCACAATCTGTTATTCACAACACTCGCACACATGGCGTCCACTCCTTCATTCTCCTGGGCATCTTCGTCATCAACCTCGTTATCACATCATGACTACAAGTATCCCAGCAACACCATGATAACCACCCTCTCTGCACGGGGGGCGGCGTGACGTTCATGATAACCCCTAAGACTCGCCTAAGACCATCACCTTCACCAGCAACAGCATCAGCAGCAGAAGCAGCTCCAAGCAACTATATCATTGGAGACACCGTCAAGTTCAAAGCAGCAGCGGCAGTGCAGTGCAGCAGCAGGCATCTCCGTCTCCCAACGTTGCAACGCTCGCTCTCTGCGGCCCCCGCCCTGGCGCCCCCCTGGCGCGTGGCGCGCCAGGAGCAGAGCTCCTCTCTGGAGCCAAAGCTCGAGCCCAAAGCCGAGGCCGAACGTGGACCCACACATTGACACACAGAAAAATTTGAGTTTCGCCGGCGGACTGGGAAGGCTATCTCGTGCCGGCGGGCGGACGCGAAAAAGTCGCCACGGAAGAAAGTTGAAAAGATGCTTGCCCACAGCAACACACTTGTGACGGTCAAGTGGCAACCGCAACGATGACAAAAAAAGGAAAGAACTCACGTCGATGCATCAGGTTGCAGCAATCGTGGAACAATCGCATTTGGCACCATTCCGATGAGGTCGATGCGTCACCTCTCGTTTCCGAAGCTGCAAAAGGCCATTTATCATCACAGTCATTACAGCACGGCTTTTGACCCTAACCTGCAATCGAAGCTTGTCCCAAGCATGATTCTACCGTTAAAGTCGAGGTATGCTGCCGAAGACTTGCAAATCGGATGAAACATGAAACTTCACAACTCAAAGCTGGCGGTTTCACAGCCGGTATAACTTTGCCAAGTAGTTGAGGGGCTTCAATCATCTTTGCGAAGTCCAACCACTCTGCGTGACTTCAAGGCCCGATTCGCTTTTCGCCACTTTGTTTCCTCCCACGTGCTCGAACGACCTCGAACGAGCTGCGCTACGAGCCCGCTTCAAGCGGAGGCCAACTTGGCAAAAGAAAGATTCCAGCATGTGGATGGCACCCGACAAGAAGTATTGGCACCTGCAGATGACAATCACAGTTGGCGTTTGACATGGACCAACACATCGCACATGCGACATCTCGATTTTTGACAAGTGGAGGGGGCCCAAATTGTAGATGACAATTTGCGCTTGTTGTTGCAGGAAGCGATGCTAATTGTAGGATTTCTGTTATGGGGGTGGCATAATCTGCATAGCGTGACAAAGCATAGCACAGCCAGACACCAGAAACTGTGTACCCTTAACCCCTAAACCCCTAAACCCGCAAATCCAGCAAACCAGAAACCTTAAACCCCTAAACCCCTAAACCCGCAAATCCAGCAAACCAAACACCAGAAACCTTCAACCTAAACCCCTAAACCCTGAACCCTACATTTGAAGGGATGCAGCGAGAGAGAGAAGAGGCAGAGCTCTCTGAAGTTTCTGGTCTCGGCTCCCGAGGCGAAGCTGCTGCCAGGAGGGACAGAGACACACCATCTGGGCCCAGCCCGGCCTGGTTCCGCCAAAGTCGGAGCGCTCGGCTCTCGGAGGCGAAGACCCCGCGACGGACACGGCGCTAGACACAACCAATTCCCCCGAGTCAGAAACCCAGCACCACGGGACCTCGCCTCCGAAAACTCGCGTTTAAGCAAAGCTAAAGGAGTCGAGTTAGGGGTTTACGGGTGGAGGGGTTGAGGGGTTAAAGGGTTCAAGGTTCTGGTGTCTGGTTTGCTGGATTTGCGGGTTTGGGGGTTGAAAAGGGTTTAGGGTTCAAGGTTTCTGGTGTCTGGCTTTCCGGATTTTGGGGGATGTATAAAGGGTTTTAGGTTCAAGGTTTCTGGTTCTGATTTTCCGGATATTTGGGGGTTTGGGGAGGGGGTTTTGGGTTATTTTTCTGGTGTCTGCGTAGCTTCCGGGTTTTGGTCTGGCTGGCGGCTATTTAAGCCAAGGGATGCGTGACCTTTTGCCGATCGCCACCCTTTCTTTGCCCTGACTGCTGGTAGCTCGTGGCAACATAGGCGGAGCTTGCCGCACCTCACGTAGCTTCTTGCTGTCACAGAGACGGGGGTCGCAAGGCATTCTAGATATCCAAGACATGCTTGATCCTTCCATGCCCCATAAACTTCCTAACAGACGCTGTAATTCTAGAAAAACCTTTCTGCGCCATTCCACTGAATGAATAAGGGGGGGACACAGACAGCATCGGACGTGGACCAACAGACTGAAGATCACTTTCCAGATCACCAGAAACAACGCCAACAAATCATGCCACCTGCAAACAAGAACAGCAAAATGGCAATTGAGACTGGCAAGCATCTTTGCTGCTTGTACGAAGACGAGCCCCATTCTTGTGTCTCTTAAAGTTGGCGTTGGAAAATGCAACAGTTCCTTGAGCGGCTCCAAACATTCCGTGTTTCAATGGAATGGCAATGTCAGATTGTCATGCCAAATCCAGGTTTTTCCACACAAATAAATTGTTCTGCATGCACCATAAAAACTGGCGTTCCATTTCCTGCTTGGTGTTTCATCGCTCTTCAAATCAGATTGAAACGCTTTCACAATTACCGAAAAAATCAATGGCCGCGTTGAGGCGGTCAGACATGATCCACCACAAGTGGGGCTCATAGAGGTCAAAATTTCCAAGCAGGAAAGCCAACCCCAATGGACCATATGCTTCCTGCACGAATGCTGCTCCTGCACGCTGTTGGCGGACTTTGCAAAGTCGGTGCACAGAACAACGCGTCCACCAGTGGTGTGCTTAACCAGCTCTTCTGGACAGAATCCCGAAGCCACAGTCAAGCTCTCTCCCTTTGCGAGATTTGGAGCTGCAGCCAACAGTCCGCATACAAGCTTTGCACCGGCTGCGACTTTGCATGCATCAACTTCAGAAAGATGTTCTATTCTTGGAATCATGGACGGTGACGTTGTCCAGTCTGACGCGTAGAGAAGACACAGAGCAAAAACGGCAAAGTTGAAAAACAACAAGTCGCTCAGCTTTTGCCTCGAAAGGGCTGCGTTTGCACTCGCAAGTTGATCTGTCATGCGTGTTGCATGTGCACTGAATCTAGACTCGGTTCAACACGCCCCCTCAGTTTTGCTATCCCATTTGGGATTGCACAACTGCACACCTGTCACAGACCCTGGCCCGGGAAGCGTTTGCGCACTACTGGGCAAAAGTGATCCGCATAGCACTGGTTGCACGCGGCTTTCACTCTAGAAAACCCCTACCCTGCTTCCCAGCCAGGGTGCCATGGGTCCCGCAGTAGAGGTCGAGGAACTGGCTGCCGTGCCTGCCGTGGCTTCCTGGAACCCCGTAGCCGGCTCAAGCCCTGGTGTCCCACCACTTCCGAACTCGCAGGTCAAGGTCTCGCGGAGCACTCGGCGTTGGGCCTTCTCATAGTTCTCCTCGTCGTCGTTTTACTCGGCCGGGGCGACGGGGTACTGTTCCTGCCCTTGTCCTTCCCGTGGGTCTGCTCCATCTGGGTGGCCCTGCTCGCCACCTCTAAACTGACTCGGCTGGCCGCCGTCAGCGTGAAACTCCACCGGCTGGTGACCAGCATGCAGATCACCACCAGCAGCACCATCACCAAGGGGTTCGCGCAAAGATCTCCACCATGTAGAACTCGGCTCAAAGGTCTCGAGTGTCTGGTCGCTGTCGCCGGCCATGCACCTCCAGGCGCACTATGAGCTTACCACCTCTGCGTCCAAGCACCTCGTGGCCCATAGCCTCGGCATGCTCGGTCTGCCCGATCGGCTCGCCGTGTGGTCGTCCACCCTAGAAAGCAAAGCATCTGCAGGCGCCTGTGCTGGAGGCTCTTCGTTCCCATATCACTGGGATTGAACTGAGTCGGCACCACGGCAACTCTGAGAAGCTTGCTCGCCCCACTGCTGGATTCACAAGCAGCTTGTCTGGGTGGCGCACGCGTCCGACTCCCAACCGGCTGGCGATTGCCCTGGCCACGAAGAGTCACTCCTCACCAGCTTGGCGTCCTCGCGGGTGACCCACTTCCAGGCCTTGTGCACGAGGGTCGCCTCACTTGTCGCCTGCGTCTGCGCCTCCAGCTCGGCTTCTCCCGAGCTCAAGGTCACCACCTTCTGGCCCCGCACAAAGCTCTACATGAGAGTCTGGTCGATGTAGATCTGGGAGAGGGGTGGGTTAACATGGGCCCGCAAGCACTGCCAATGCAAAACGCAGTGGCCTCGCGAGAAGTTGCAGTCCCAGCCAAGCGTGGACTGGGAGTGCGCCAACCTTAAGACGAAGGTCAGCTGAGAACCTGGCTGCGGAAGAATTCAGCCAAACGCAGCAACAAGGTCAAAGACCAGGGGTTACCGCGGCGACCTAAGGCCGCCGGAAGCACAACGGGAACCGAAAGGCCACGGTTCCAGTGCTTCCATCTGAGGACGCTAGAACCTCCGGCTAGAGAGTACAGACCTGCAGAAACGTGGATCCCCGGGCGAAGCCAGCAGGATTCAACCTGATTTTTTGGCGTGGGCGGGCCTCGTCGACTACGGCTGTAGCACTCGGTCCCTACAAACTAGACAAACCAACAAACGAACAAAAAACAGCGGTGAAACAGGGCGGCTCGATCAAAAAGAGGCAAACAAAAGCTAGCTGCGGCGCACAGACTTTGCCGGTGTTGGCCGTTCAGCACGAGCAACGGGGCC